TCATAAAGCAGAACTTCCTCTGCTCAGCCTTTACCTGGCTGGCAGAGCTGTCAAGAAGACAGATGCCACTTCTGCTTTGTTTACAGCTTTAATCCCCAAGCCCTGTTCTGCAGGCTCCCAGGGAAGGGCCAGGAGAAGAGAAGCGAGGCAGGCACTGCCCTCCCGCAGGCCTGACAGCTGCAGGGACGCCACTCAGTGACCCCTGTCTCGCTCAGGTGTGGGGCCGGCCACAGGCCGCCTTCCTGTGCTTCCTGCAGACCACCTCCCCCGCCTTACCCAGGAAACCGTGAGCGAGGCAGCCCTGCTCGGGACGGGGATCAAGGGATGGGAGTGAGTAGTACGATTCCCATTTTACAGAAGAGGAAACTGAGGCCTCAAGAGGTGACCTGCCCGAGGTCACACAGCTAGGAAAGTGGCAGGATTCACACCAGCTAAGGGGGACTCTCACAGCTGTGCATTTGAGAAAGGATGGGTGCCCACGACCCCTTGCCATTTTGAGACACACCAACCCAATCTTCTGGAGCAGGAAATAGCAACCCACTCCAGTATTCTTGCCTGGAGAATCCCATTGACTGGAGGAGCCTGGCGGGCTACAGTCCATGGGGTCGCAAAGAGTCAGACACGACTAAGCGTCTAACACGACTGAGCGTCTAACACACACACAGCCCAATCTCCAATTGCCAGTATCTGCTGCTCTTCTGAGGCTCTCTGGCCACAGAAGCCCTCTTTGCCACTTGGACGAGGCATTGAAGAATTAACATCCTCCAGGGAGAGCCAGCAATGACAGACAGGAGGGGCTCCCCTGCCAGGTTAGGACTCGACACTGTCGTTGCTGGGGCCCAGGTTCAATCCCTGGTTGGAGTACTAAGATCCCACAAGCCACACAGTGCAGCCAAAAAAAGTATTAAATAATCAATTTTTTTAAATGATTGACAGGAGGGAATGCCCTGGCAGGTCCAGTGGTTAGGACTTGGCACTTTCACTGCCAGGGCTGAGGTTCAATCCCTGGTTGGGGAACTAAGAGCCCACAAGTCACAAGGTGCAGCCAAAAAATAATTTAAAATTGATCAATTTTAAAAAAAACGATTGACGAGAGTTGGTGTACACACACCCTGGCTCCCTCACACCTCCAGTGAGATGACTGGCAGGCGTGCTTCCTCCTGTCCCCAGAGACCCCAATGGAGTAAAGCTCCAGCTGTTCACGGGGGTGACCTGCTTGGTATCACACCCTTGATGGCCGCCTTACCTCCGAAACCAAAGTTTCCTGGGATCCCCTCCCAAAGAAACAACTAACCATCAAACCCTAGTCTGGAGGGGAACTCAATTTAACACCTTCAGATCCTGAAGGATGAATCAGATCTTCCCAAGTGTAAGACCCCAGCATGAGATGGTCCTTCCCGTCCTCTTGGAAGGTTACCAGGCACGTTCTCATCCTGGGGTGGGAAGGCGTGGACTTGGCAGAGCACAGGGCAGTGAGATCACCCAGTGATCTGAACACAGGAGCACCCAGTGAGACCGTGGGCAGGGCAGCAGGGCCTGTGGGACTGAGATAGAGGCCGACTATCCAAACTGTTAGCATCGCGGGGACGAGTGGACCCACCCAACATCACCAGCGTGGACAACCAGCATCCTGGGAGAGGTGAGTGGGAAGCTAGGCTTAGGAGAGAGAGTGAGGCAGGTGAAGAACACAGGGCTGGCGCAGGGCCAGCGAGAGGGGGTGCTCAGACCATGGAAGGGAAGGCGGCGGGAGAGGCAGGCAGGAGAGCCAAACCCCCTGGGTACCAATCCAGTTCTGCCAATTCTCTAGCACTGCAGTGTTCACCAGTTACCTCAGTGTCCTCTTCTGTAAAATGGGTGCAACAATTATGATGCTGTCCTCCGTCATCAGGTATCCTACAGCTAACAGAATCCTTACGACAGACTTGAGCTGTTAAATTACCCAATTGCATCTAAATCCCATCTCTTCCCTTTCCTCTCTATCAACAACTACCACCAATTTTTTTTTAAAGAAAGTTTGGAAGTAGGCTATTTTATTTATTTTTTTGACTCCACCTGAGGCATAGAGGGTCTTAGTTCCCACACCAGGGATCAAATCCTTGCCCCCTGCATTGGTAACCCAGCGTCCTAACCACTGGACTGCCAGGGAAGTCCCCAACAATCACCATTTTATGAGCACTTACCATATGCATCATTTTTCAGCCAGCTTCTTCATACCCTTCAAACACATCACCTGTCCTCCCAACAACCTGTTGAGATGAGTGGTGGCTTCCCTGCCCTCTCTGGGACTCAGACAGATTAAATAACTTGTCCTAGGTCACAGAGCCAGAAGGAAGCAGAGTCAGACCCAGTCCCTGACGCACTGACAGGTGCTGAGTCCCAAGCCCATAGTCCACGGGTGTCACCCCGGCCCTCCTGGCCTAAGATGTTCTTCCAAAGGAACAGCTCAGCTCAAACCTGGGTGAGGCCCCGGGAAGCCAGGGCTGCCTCCCCCCATCCAGGGTGGTCTCAGCTTCCACAAACGTTCCCACAGCTTCCCCACGCCTCACGTCACCCAGACATGGACGAGTTCACTGTGCCTGGCCTGGGGCCACACAAGGACCCTCACCAGCCTCTGCTGGGGCTTCCGAGGCAGCAGGAAGGATCCAGGTCAGCTGGAACATGCTGTCCTTCGGTCCTCCCTGGCCACCCCGAGTTCACCCCAGGCTCTCCTGCTTTGCTCAAGCCTTCCCCTCACCCGGGGCGTGTGCCATTCCCCCTCCTGTCACCCACCTCTCCTTCCAAGCCAATGGTTCCCATACTTGGCCGCACAGCAAACCACCTGGGGCACCTTTTAAAAAATCCCAGTGCCCAGGTGGCACACAGGACCAATTCCATCAGAATGTCTGGGGCTAGGAGCCAAGCATCAGCGTTTGAAAAGAACCCCAAGTGACTGGATGTGAACAAAGCTGCTCTTGCCCGATATTCCCAACCCTAAATACACACTGGGAGAGCTTGAAAAACAACCCACTCCCAAAGTTCTGCTTAGCAGGTCTGGGGGTGAGGCCCTGGTAGAGGTTTGGTTTTTTTTTTAATTGGAGGATAATTGCTTTACAACGTTGTGTTGGTTTCTGCCATACAATGTGAATCAGCCATAAGTATACATATATCCCCTGCCTCTTGAACGTCCCTCCCACCCCACCCCACCCCTCTAGGTTGTCACAGAGCACTGGGTTGCGCTCCCTGCATTACACAGCAACTTGCCACTAGCTATCTATTTTACATATGATAATATATATGTTTCAATGCTACTCTCTCAATTTGTCCCACCCTCGCCTTCCCTCACTGTGTCCACAAGTCTGTTCTCTGTGTCTGCATCTCTATTCCTGCCCTGCAAATAGGTTCATCAGTACCATTCTCCTATATTCCATATATATGTGTTAATGTATGATATTTGTTTTTCTGACTTACTCTGTGTAACATGCTCTAGGCTCATCATTAGAACTGACCCAAATTTGTTCTTTTTTATGGCTGAGTAATATTCCACTGTATATATGTACCATAACTTCTTTATCCATTCATCTGTTGATGGACATCTAGGTTGCTTCTATGTCCTGACTATTGTAAATAGTGCTGCAATGAACACTGGGGTACATGCGTCTTTTTGAATTGTGGTTTTCTCAGGGTATATGCCCAATAGGGGGATTGCTGGGTCATATAGTAGTTTTTTTCCTAGTTTGTTTGTTTTTTAAAGGAATCTCCATACTGTTCTCCATAGTGGCTGTATCAATTTACATTCCCATCAATAGTGCAAGAGGGTTCGCTTTTCTCCACACCCTCTCCAGCATTTACTGTCTGTAGATCTTCGATGACAGCCATTCTGACCTGGGAGAGTTTTTAAAGATCCAGGTGATGCTGACACACAGCCAGGCTTGAGAGCCACCATCTTACGAAGTGTCTCCCATCAGTCTTCTCACCTGCATCTCCAGACACCCTCTGGGCTGGCTCATCATCTATCCCATCTTTCAGATGAGAAAGTCAAGACCCCGAGAGGGCACAGCTGGCTGAGGTTGAGGGGTACCCAGAGCCCTCCCACGGTCCCTGACACCAGGTCCTGCTGCAGAGTTATCCAGACCAAGAACTCACAAGGACCCACATCCAACCATATCTAATGTGGACACGCCAAGGCAGCCACAGCAGCGGGCCAAGGATTGAGAGTTCAGTTCTCGGCCCACATCTTGCTCTACTGCCTTCCACCTGTGGGAACTCAGGTTCCTTTACTTACCTCTCTGAGCCTCTTTTTCCAATCTGTAAAACAGACCCGTTGTCCCATCCTCCTATGGCTCACTCCCTGTCCTTTTTAGGACTCTGCTGAAACATTACCTTGCAGGGAAGCCAGACTCTTATCTATTTTGTTTCTACTGACATAGTCTACAGTTTACTTTTTTTATCTTGTGTATTGTCTGTCTCCCATTAGAATAAAAATGCCAAGAGCTTTTTGGCTTTCATTCCCTGCTATATCCACGATGCTTAGAAAAAGGCCAGGAGCTGGGAGTCAAACTGATGTCTGTAGAGTGACTGCGGGACCCTCAAGGTGTTAGAGACGCTCAGACCAGTGAGTGGCAGGGTGCACGGGGCAGCTGGGGTCAGTCAGTTCTGTGGGCTCGCCTGGGGGACGTCCAGATAAAGCCCAAGGTGGTCACCCAGAGGGCGGCTCTGCCCAGATCCAGGAACCCCTTCCCCTATAAGCAGCGTCACCGATGGCTGGTAGCTTGAGAGAGCCCACCCACCGGACCTGGCATCAGCCCTGGCCCCGCCCCGGTCCCGCCTTCCCGCCCCCCCACAGACTCCGCCCCTCTTGGTCCCGCCTCTCCAGTCCCGGCCCTGCCCATTCAGGCCCCGCCTCAGACCCCGCCCCTCTTGGTCCCGCCTCTCCTGTCCCGGCCCTGCCCATTCAGGCCCCGCCCCAGATGACCCCGCCCCTCCCCAGCCCCGCCCCTGGCCCCGCCCCCACACGTGCTCACTGGTGCACTTCTTGACGTGGCTGCCCTTCTTGAGCGCGTGGCGGCTGAGCTTGCAGTGGAAATTGTCCTCCCAGAACTCGGCAAACCATATGTTGCGCCGGTTGTTGTCCAGCGTGCGGCTGGAGAAGTAGCGGTCGAAGCCTGGCGGGGAACCAGGATGTCAGGACCCGGGGCCCCTCTTTCTACCCGTCCCCAGCCCTTCGCTCTTCTCGCCGCTTAGACGCTTAGACGAAGCGCGGGAGGACGGGGTGGGGAGGAAGAGGGCACCCTCTGATCCAGGACCCGGGGGAAACGTGAGACGTTTCATTTCCTTTCTGGTGAAAAGAGCTGGGTTAAGTTCCAGGGGGAGCCTGTGTGATCAAACAACGGCTGCCTTTATGGAAGAAGTACAGGATGAGGATGTTTGCGCTGGTTCTTAACTACGGAAATGCTAATATGGGGCTTCTTGGAGAAGGAACCACCTGGAGATCCTGAGATGAGAGCAGAGATGCTGGTGGGGGTGGGGGGTCGGCACCCAGTCCTGGGAGCACGTGAGCTCTCTGGTTCTGAAGAGGAGATGGAACCAGAGAGTATGCGGACTGGCCCAGGTCACATAGCAAGACAGGGGCCTGAATGGTCCTCCTTCCAGTCCAGAACTTCCCCATCGCTGACTGAGGCAGCCTCCTTCTCCAAATGGTCCAGAGCACTTATCAACTCTGCTCCAAGCCCAGAAAACCCGGACCCAGGGTGGCAGGCTGGTGGGTGAATAAGGCCTTCTCTCCTCCCCCTGCCTTCTGCACCATGACCATTCCGCGTCACATTCACAGTTGACTGAGCTGCTGGGAACAGACTGGAAAGACTAAAAGTTCACCCAGCAAAGAGTTCCTGCCGGTGGCAGGGCCCAGTGGAGGCTCAATGACTGTCTGTTGGAGCTGTCGGGGAGCTGCTGGCACTGGTAGGGTACTGGTTTTGACACTACTGACACTGGGCCAGTTCACTCGTTGCTGGTGGGGGGGTGGGTGATGGCCGGGGGAGGCTGTCCTGGGCATTGCAGAATGTTGAACAGCATCCCTGGCCTCCACCCACTAGAAGCACCACTCCCTGCTCATGACAACTAAAAATGTCTCCAAACATTGCCAAATGTCCCTGGGGATCAAAATCACCCCCTGCTGAGAACCACTGCTTTCGTGGTTTCTCTGGTACCCCAGAGAGAAAAGGGATTTGTCTGGCAAGTCCTGGGTTCAGATCCTAGTTCTGCTACTTAATAGCAAGTATGTGTGACTTACTGCCACCAAATGTCACTTAACCTCTTTGAGCCTCAATGTATTCACTTACTAAATGTGGGGTTGCTGGAAAGACTAAATGAGATGTCTGTATGAGACGTGGCATTTGTGGGTACCAAGAGCCGTAGTGTTTGTTATTTTGTGTTTATTATGGCTTGAAGCTGAGAGGGGCGGTGTGGAAACTTCTGGCACCTGTGTTCCTTCTGCCTCAGGGTGAATAGAGGACATGGCCATGTGACCCATGTCCCTCCCCTACTCAGACCTCGCTCTCTTGAAAAGTTTGGTGGAGGTAATGTCTGCAGGCTTCCCAGCTCCATCAATGCTGATGTCTGTTGACCTCAGCGAGAGCAGGGGAGAAGCCCCTGGGAGCCTGTCACCACCATGGGGAGGACAGTGAGGTCCCTGCCAAACTGGGCCTTTCATAGGAACTTTGCGCCTCACTCACAGCGAGGCTCCAGCCAGAGCAATCTGTTCCTGCCCAGGGTGACTGAGTTCTGTCCCAGGAGGAAGGGATGCCAGGCAGGGCAGGCCCCCACCCACCCCCGGCCCACCCAGGGCCCACCAGGACTCCGCAGGGAGGCCCCTGTCCCCAGCCTGGCACCCTTTTCTGGTAACCTGCTGGCAGCTCCCAGGCCCTTCTAGCAGAGGACACGCTCCCAGTGGGGCAGGGGTCTCACTTCATCTATCCCAGGTAGGAGAAGGGATGAGAGAATATAGGGGTGAAGGAGAATCCTTGATAAATGAGCCTCCTGTACTTGCCACCACCCCCAACACCCATGAATATCTGAGACAGGAGAAAGAAGGACCCTGAGTGTGGCTTCTAACCCCACTGGGACGAGTGTGGCCAGGAAGGCCTCCCAGCCCAGAACCCGAGCACAAAGAAGCTGGGAGCCAAGGAAGAAGAGGACAGGATTCGGGAAGACAAGGAGCTGGCAAGGGATGGTGGGGGGGGGGGGGTCGATAAGAAGGACCGTCAGGGTGATGTTGATAGCGGGGCACATGGAGCCAGGGGCGGGTGGTGGGCACGCCGTTGTGGCTGCCGGGCCTACCTCGCACAGACATCCTCTTGGGGAGGATGGTGACGGCGCCCTCGGCCACCTCCTCCAAGTGCAGCACAGGGGCGATCTTGGAGCCCCAGCTGTCCGAGCCCATCCAGAAGAAGTGGCCGGTCTGGTTGGCCTTCCGTGCCGCCTCCAGCACACGCCTGTGGGGACACGCACCAGCCCAGCCCAGCCGTGTCTGCCCACGGGCTCCCCGTCCTGGCCACACCTGCCCTTCCCCCAGGCTCATTCCTGTCCCCCTTGCAGCCTGTGCCTGGATGCCCCGTCCTGACCCACAGGAGCCTGGGGCCCACAGCCACCCCAGCGCCCACATCTGGACTCCCAGGCCCCTGGTTCCCTGCTGCCTTGACCCACACCTGCCTACAGGCCCACGGCTGCCCTTCACCCACACTGCACCCCTGTAACTGCCTGTGCCCTGGGCCCACAGCTGCCTACGGGCCCAGTGTGGTCTCCCAGACCCACTCTTACCCCTGGGGCTACCTCTGTCCCTGCCGAGACCATGCCTGTTTCCCTCCGGTTGGACCTGCCCCATGTCTGACCCGGGGCCCCAGAAACACATCTGCCCAAGCTCTGTTCTCTGAGGCTCCCAGACCCACACCCCTTGGCCCTTTGTCACATTTCTATCCACTGTCACACACACACACTAACACCTGTCCCCCTCTGCACCCCACCTCCTTCTGTGCCAAAAGTCCAGGTGCTCCAAAGAACTGCCCCCACTGCCCTTGCGGATGGATGAAAGGTTACAGGCAGCCAGGGGCTCCCCACCGCCACCCAGGCCACAGTGACAGTGGTCCTAGTCAAGTCAGGGGCCCTGGAGCCCCACGCAGGGTCCAGCCCACAACGGCGCTCAGTCAGTGCTAATGGATGCTTGAACTAAGTGGCCCCTCAGAGACATCTTCTAGAAGGAGAAAGACAGGAAGGACTGGGCAGAATTCCCCACCATGTATCTCATCCCATGGGGACAGACGGGAGCAGAGAGGAGGCAAACAACTTGCCCAAGATCACACAGCAAATGAGAGGCCAGGATACTGGAAACTGGCCAGCTCGTCCCTCGGAAGAGGCCAGTACAGACGGCGGGGCTTGGGGCGACTGCCAGACCTCTGCAGGAGGAGGCCAGCTGGGGCAGGAAGCCTCGGGCTGCCAGGGAGAAACGTGTTTCCTCACCCCAGGGCCCACACCTGCCCTCCTCACCGTCTCTTGACTCTCCTAGGCCCCCAAGGCTGCTGCAGCCCCCGCAGGGCCCCCTAATTGTAGGCGAGGCTGCTCTCAGAACCCACACCGCAGCCCTATTATTACCGCCTGCATCCGGCCAGCCAGAGATGACCAGAGCTCCCAAGGCTCCAGCTCTTCAAAGTCACCTGGGTTTATTTTTACCTCTGTTTGCTTCTGAAAACACATGAGGATTTCCAGAAAGGCGCCCCCCCCTCCCCCCCCGCCACATACCACCCAGCTGCTCAGGGAGTCAGCCTAAGGCCCTGCCCCCTCTCCCCCAGGTGACCCTTCTCTGGGACCCTTGGCCCGGCGCCCTCATCTCCCCTCCCCACGTGTGGGTCTATCAGGGCCGCTCAGGAGGTAGCGAGTGGGGTGTGTCCCTGGATGGGGTGGGGGGCCCCGAGTGGTGCTGGGCTTTGACATGGGAGTGTGGGCAGGGGGCGGGGACTGACTGAAGGGAGGCGAAGAGCTCGGAAGGAGCTCCTCCTGCTCCAGGTCCCTGCGGAGACAGGGACACCCAGGGCCAGCGTTTAGGGACCCTGAAAGCTTTGTGAGGAGCAGGAGCAGCTCAGAGGTGCCAGGTGGACCCTGAGGGCTCCCGCACCCTGAGCCTTTGCTGCCTGAGAAACACCCATTAGAGCTGGCACTTATGGCTATGGAGGCCTTAATGACCTTCCAGAACATTCCCCTCCATCCCTGCTAGCACCCAGCAATATCTCCTGGGAGAAAATCTGTTTTGCTGCAACTCAGGAGTCCAGGATGAGGTCTTTCCAAGTGGGAAAGAGTGTTGGAAAGAAAAGCGGACCCAGAGTGGATGCTGGTTAGCAATGGGGAGGGGGCCGCATGGAGGCAGGGTAGACCGGGCAAGCTGGGCTGGGCAGGTGGGCAGGTGGGCCAACTGTCTGAAGGTGGCGGTCTGGGGAGACCACATCTCCTCTGCAAACATGGGGTGTGCCTCCCCAACCAGATTCTCGGGGGGGGGCTGTGTCTCCCCCTCAGTCTAGGGAATCAAGGAGGCCGGCCCTTCTTGGCCGTGACATCCAGTCTTAAAGAGGTGGTAGGGAGAGAGAGCAGGAAGAAGGGAAGTGCCTTAGGAAGGGTGCTCAGGCGTCACCTTTTAAGGACACCTGAGACTCTGACCTGTGACTCAGTACCCAGGGGCAGGTGTGCAGGGAGGCGGACTGCTCCTGTACCGCATGGTTCTGGCACCTGGAGTCCGCCTGCCCCCACTATGCAAATGCGGAGACTGAGGTCCAGGGAGGGGATGATACTGCCCAGATGAGTGTGTGCCCAGATCAGGACTAGAACCACAGCCCAGGCCTCTTCCCACTGCCCTGAGCTCACCGAAGGGAGGACGGGGGGCTGAGAGACGGCCACCCCTACCTCCTGCCAGCCTCTGCTCCTTCCTTTGTGCACATTCCTGCATTCAGTGCTCCAGCAACACTATCAGGCAGGCTTCATTAGCTCCATTTTTTTTTTTAAGCAGAAGAGAAGCCCAGAGAGGTTGAGAAACTTGCCTGAGGTCACACAGCTAGTTGGAGGGAGAGCAGGGTTCCCACCTAGGGGCTCTGACCCCAAGCCCACGGCCTTAGCCCCTCTGTAAAAGGACCCGCTAACCATCCTGAGTTGGTAGAATGGATGTAGAAAACGGGGAGGGGGAAAGGAAGGGGAGCCCGTGAGCCATAGCCTGTGCCCCAGACAGAGGGGTCTCCCCACCACCCCCTCATTGGCTCACCCCACCTCTCTGGACCTCAGGGTGGGTCAGGCTTGCCCAGGAAGGTCTCTAGCAGGGGTCCCTGGCGCCCCAGCCCCACCCCAGTGCCGCCTGTCCTCACCTGATGTCATCCTCATTGGCAAAGATGATGACCGCCCTGGCGTTTGACGTCTCCAGGAGCCGCCGGATGATCTTGTCGAACTCCCCAGGCTTAGGCTCCCGAGGTATCTTGACGGACTGGGCGATGCACACACCCCCTGCAGGAAGGGCACTGGTCAGCCTGGGGCGGACAGGGTCTCCCCCTGCGGCCTGCACTCCTGGGGGCTACTCACGGTCCCCTGGCCTGCCTTGCTCCCAGGTCCCGATCCAGCATGGGCATGTGCAGTCAGAACAGCCACAGTGCAAATTTTGGCTTCACCAAGCTGGGCGACCCTGGACACATCACTTAAGTTCTCTGTGCCTCTCTTTATAAAATAGGTTGCTAGCAAGAAGCAATATAGTATCGGGCTTAAAGCTAGATTGCCTGGGTTCAAATCTCAGTTCTGCTGCTTACTGCTGTGTGATCTCAGGTTAGTTACTGAACTTCTCTGTTGTCTCAAATACATCATCTATAATGATAATAATGCCACCTATTTCATAGGGTTGTTATAAAGCTAAGGAAGTTCATGCATATATAGTAACATCTGCCACACAGTAAGTGCTAAGTAAACATTGGTTCTTTTTGATGTAACTACTTCATAAGGTTTTTTGGAGGCGCAAATCTGAGAATGAGAACAAATTGCCCCCCTTGGGCCATTACAAAGACTCCGGTACCCACATCCACACACACCTACCAGGGCTCTTGGCCCCAGGCCCCATGGTCACCATCAGGCCCCTTCATAAGGGCAGCGTGCAGGTTGCTGACTTGTGCCTGCACATCCCAGGTAGTGATGCTGTAAACCCAGCTACTGCCCATATGCGGACGTTCCTAAGTTCCCTTCTGGGCACTCACAGGCCACTCAGTATGTAGGCTCTCCAGCTTCCTCCCTGACCCAAAAGGGTGTGATGACACCCAGCCTCCCTCCATCTTACTTATGGTCAGATTCCCAGCAGGGAGTTTAGAAGAGCCCAGGAAGGCCATGCTTAAGGGGCTGCTTTGGCGGAGGGGCTGGGGGAGCTCTAATTGGGATCAGAAGGTCTTTAGGGGCCCTCCTGTCATTCCTTTCTCTCTGGCCACTGCCTACCTGGCTGGATCCTGGGGGAGGGGACCCAAGGCCTGCCTACCTCTCGAGCTCATTCCTCTACAAGAAGCCCCCAAGCCTGCAGGCACCACCACGATGCAGTCAACACACCCTGGGATTCACAGCCAGGCCGTGTGGCTCACAGAAAGCTGGGAGCACCCTCCACCTCACCCGGCCAGTCCCCGGCCTCAGCTGTGTCTCTCCAGTGCTGGCGGGGGGCCGGCATCATTCATGTTATCTCAGTCTCCCCACATCTCCTGCTACAAAAGCACTTGTGGACCTGTTTCTAGTGTCAACCGCGTTTGACAGATGAGGAAACTGAGGCACCAAAAAGAGAAGTGATTTGCCCAAAGCCACACAGTCCTTGCCCCACTGGGATACAGGGAATCTTATTCCCCCCAGGGAATAAGACCTCCAGCACCTCTGGTGGCAGAGTTAGGGCTCTGTTGGTTGAAAAGTTTTAAGAAGTATTCTTGATGAAGGCGGATCCTTTATCTGAGACCACTGCCTTCCTCCAGGTCCTACTCAAGGATCTCAGCCCAGCGTCATCTCACATGGGATCCTACTAGCTCACAGCCAAACTTACCCACCTTGGCCGAGCACCTGGCTGCCACCCTGGGGCACCCCCAAGCCTCCGTACGTCTCGCAGTCCAGGCCGGGGTTACCTGAACCCTCTGAGCAGACTCCACGCACCTCTGTGTGGAGGGTGGGACGCAAGGGTTCCCAGTGCGGGGAGGCAGCGCCCAACTATTTTACCCCGAGGAAGAGGGGCCGGCACCCAGCTGCTCCCAGGGAGGGCGCTCTACTCAGGGGCTTAGGTGGCAACCAGGGAAGGCTGCCCAAAGGTGGCGACCCTGCGCTGAGTGGCTAAGTTTTCGTGGCAGGAGGCCCAAGCCGCCGGGGGCGGGGAGGGGACATTCTGAGGAAACAAGGCACTCGCTCTAGAAGGGGGCCGCTCTGCGCCAGGCGCCCGCAAGGCCCAGAGCCACCCGACACAGGCTTGCTCTCACGTCGCCAGGAAATGGACCCCCTGGTTCTGTGTAGCAAGTGAGGCAGCCACGGCCTCTGGCCCCCACCCTGACCAGCACCCACCTCCTTTACTTTCTGCCACTCGCAGGCAGAACAAGAACCTCAAGTCCCAGGATGCCCACAGAGGCGCCAAGCACAGAAGAAGAGCAAGGTTATCAGGGGCTCTTGGGGGACAGAGGGGGGGTCTGGGGGCAGGATGGGACCCCCCACTCCCAGCTCACAAAGAGAACCGGGGGGAGCCAGTCTCCTGCCCCCAGCGCTGGCCCTGCCCTAACAGCGGCCAGACAGACACTCAGCTTCCAGCTAAATCCTCCATATGGTTCCTTTCCAGTTAGAAAGTGGGCCAATTGCTACATTTCTCCCCCCATCTGGGGAGACAGATGGACAAGAGGAGGAGGCTGGACAGGGGGTTAGGATGAGCCACCTGGCCCCAGGAGGGAGGAGGGGGCCAGAGGGCAGAGGGGAGGGAGGCACCGAATGGGAGATAATTGTTCTCAAAGAGGAGAGACTCTTAGGTTAAGTCATATTTCTGGGTGGTGCTCCCCTAAGAGGTTCCACCCCGGGGTACATACTGCAGGCTTCATTTGACTAATGAAAGAAGACTCGGGTGACCACAGCCCGGTCAGCAGGTCACAAGGTACTTAAGATGAGAGTCTAAGCAGGGAGCAATGTTCTGACAACCAGGGAGCAATGTTCTGACGGGAGTCTGGGGGGTTTCAAATAGAGCTCAGTAACAGTGAATGTTTCTAGTGTCTGGTGCCTTTGAATATTAACACTGCACATGTTGCATAGATTCACCCATCTGAAGTCAGTATCATCGGCAAAACTCCAGCTTATTATTATTTTTATTTTGGCCACACCATGTGGTCTATGAGATCTTATTTTCCCAACCAGGGAGCAAGTCTGCACCCCCTGCACTGGAAGCGCAGGGTCTTGACCACTGGGCCGTAAGGGAAGCCCAGCACGGTTCCAGTTCAGAGAGAAGGACGCTGAGGACAGAGCAGCTAAGTGACTCCCGAGGTCACACAATCAGGCACAGCGCAAGGTCTCAGTGTGGGCCGCGCGGCTCCAGAGAGCACCCTTTCACGCAGTCCAGTGCATCACGACCAGCCACAGCCAGGTCAGGGGACACCGAGGGCCCATGCACATGTCTGGGGGCAGGCCTGCCCTGGGGCAAGTACCCAGGGGTGTCACTGGCCCCACAAGGAGGAGCCAAGCTCCCTCTGGGCCCCTTGGTGTCACTGCCTGCTGCTCAGTTTGGCTGCTCTGGGGACCACGGCACAGGACCAAGGCTGTCCCAGGGTGACGCAGCTGCCAGGGATAACTAGCACAAGATCTGGCTCCACAGCGCTCCTGTCCCCTGCCCCAGCCAGAAAGGACTGTGGCGGCCCAAGAGGACACACATTTACTGAGCACCCACTGCATGCCTGGCACTCATTGAGTGCCTGGGGCAGCTGCTAATGGCCCCATCTTACAGATGCAGAAACTGAGGCTCAGAGGTGCTCAGTTGCCTGATGGAGGTCACACAGCCAGCTGGTGGGCCTGTAAGCCAGGTCTGTGGCAAGAGCCTCCCTTGGGCAGAGAAAGGGAAGACTGTATTTGCTAGGTCTCTATTAACCCCAATACCTGCAGCCCGTCCCCACTTCTGGGAAGACCCCAAGTCCCACGCCAATCGCCAGCTGGACTGCGAGGGAAGTCTAGCATGTTCCAATTTAGAGATGAGGATGCTGAGGCACAGAGCGGCTAAGTGACTTCCCCAAGGTCCCCTCCTGTGTCCAGCCCCTGCTTCTGAAGCCCCCTCACTGTGGGGGCCACGGCTAGCACACCCCTGGGAAGTCCTCTCCAAACCCTCCTACCAGGGTGGGGGCACTTTTTTGCACCCCCACTCCTTTGTCCCATGGTCTCTCTCCTTGGATAAAATAAGAATCCATGAGTCCATACTGAGAGCAAAAGTAATCAAATTAAACCCAAGCAGCAAGGAACACACCCAAGCCCTATCTCTGCACAGAGGCTGAAACCCTTCACCCCTCCCAGGCTCCAGGAACAGGATCATAAGGGTATGGAGGAGTCTGGTGCTCCCCACGGCCCACTTAGGCCCTTCTGGGTCACCCTTGGCAAGCCCCTCACCCCCCACACAGCCCCAGCCCCCTGGCAGGCACCGGTTGCCCTGTGCCAGCTGCAAGCTCCACCGTCCGCCCAGCCAGTGCCTCCGCCCAGGGCCAGGGGCAGGAAGCCACAAGCTTGTGCCAGGAGCTTATGAGCGCAAAGGGGCAGTCAGGACCTTGGAGAGCTCCCGGCCCAAGCTCTAGGGGAGCGAGGAGACTGAAGGCAGACTGAGCCAGGAAGTCTAGAACCCTACAAACCAGCATGTCCCCTTCCACATTCTTCCCAGAGAAACTCACACACGGGCACAAGGAGATATGCCCAAAGATGATCACTGCGGCACTGCTTGAAACAGCGAAAACATGGAAACCACCTAAATACTTTCCAACAGAAGAATGGAATATTATGTAGCTAAGATATATAAAACAGCTCTCATGTATCAGCATGACAAAACCCTGAAAATGCAAAGTTGACTGATAAAGCAAAGTGCACCACTCTCTGTCCCTTTCATGTGGAAATTAGAGGCCACATACAATACAAGGTGTTATATACGGACACACATATAGACACGAGCAAAAGCTGCAAGAAGGCAGGAGATTTTCCCTGTTGCACGCACTGCGATCTCCCCAGTGCCTGGCACACACTAGGTGTTCCATAAATGCTTGCTGAATTACTCAGACAATAAGGGAACCCAGCCCCTGCAGGGTGTGGGTACCTCAAGGGAGGCAGGGATGGAACAAGACTGAGGGCCCCATAGGAGGGCTCCCAGGCATGATCCCTGTTCATTTCTTGGAAATAATCAGAAGCAAATACAACAACACGTAAATGGTTGGTTACTGTGCAACTCAGGACCCAAGCCAGACCAAACGTGCAGACACAAGCACCAGTGAAGGCATCCTAGTCCC